TGCAACCCTTCTGAATATAGTAGAAATACTAATAGACCATCAGGCTTCAAACCCACATGGGACAGACATGGTGGCAGACACCTTTAGTCCCAGCACTCGGGGCAGAGGTTCCAGCCAGCCAGAGCCATGCTGTGAGGCCCTGTCTCAAACAAGCAAACAAAACAAAATCTCTGTGGGGTCATAGGTGACTTCTCAGGCCCTCAAAACACAGGCAGCCTGCCCTCGGTCTGTTAGGAATCATTGGCTTTCTTGAGAGTGTACAGGGTATTGCCCTGCCCAGCCCAGCCTCCTCACTGCCCTGCTCCCAACCACTCTGTCCAAGTGCAGGGAACTCTAGTCTTATGGCAGAGTGTAGATGAAAGTCCTATATGAAGGGACTCTGGCCAGCTCGAGCACGGCATGCATGACTCTGGCAGGCCTTGCCCTTCTAAACATTGTTAGATCACATTCCTAAAGCCAGCCACCAAGGTCTACTCCCTTATTCAACCACTTCCTCCTCCTGAGGCTGACTGCCGTGGTCCAGGTATCAAAGTATTGAAGTCCAGCAATCAAAAGCTCCCTTTGGCTCACCTAATTAATGTGCCCAGTCAAAATACAGTGCCACGTCCTAGCCCATCCTAATATGGACCGCACTGTGGTGGTATTGTGTTCCCCAAAATATTGTGCACCCTAATAAACTTATCTGGGGTCAGAGACAGAACAGCCACTAGATACAAAGGCTAGAAAATGGTGGCACTCACACCTTTAATCCTAGCATTCCAGAGGCAGAAATCCCTCTGGATCTCTGTGAGTTCAAGGCCACACACACACACACACACACACACACACGCACGCACGCACGCACGCACGCACGCACGCGCGCGCCTTTAATCCCAAGAAGTGAGCCTTTAATCCCAGGGAGTGAGGCAGAAAGCAGAAAGGTATATAAGGCATAAAGACCAGGAACTAGAAGCATTTGGCTGGTTAAGCTTTTAGGTTTTGAGCAGCACAGTTCAGCTGAGAGCCATTCAGATGAGGACACAGAGGCTTCCAGTCTGAGGAAACAAGAGCAGCTGAGAAGTTGGCCAGGTGAGGTTAGCTGTGGCTTGTTCTGTCTCTCTGACCTTCCAGTGTTCACCCCAATAACTGGCCTCAGGTTTGATTTTTATTAATAAGAACTTTTAAGATTCCTGCTACACCGCACCTTTTTCTCCTCTTAGAAATCACACCTGCAAGGTCATTTGCTGCTGTTTTTCTGCCTGAGTCAGAAAGCAGCTGCTTTAACTTTTCTTCCCTGCTTGATAAAGGATCTCTGTGAAGAGAGGTGTTTGGGTGTGGTTTGTGCCATGAAATGCATGTTGGATTTTGAGCATTTGGTATGAAAAAATCAACTGACTTCATTTTTACACTGAGTAGGTACTGATCTTTTAGATATAGTAGGTTAAATAGGCAGTGCTATTAGCATTAAGAATACAGAAATACAAACTTTGTACCCCTTCTAAACTGGACAGTTTGCAGCATGTTAAATCTCACATATGTTAAAAACTAAGAATAAGTCCTAAAAGTACAATCATGATTGTTTTAATGGCTATTTTAATTCAGAATGAACATAGAGTGCTCTAACATTTTATAAAATAGATCTGAGACACCATTTTTAATCCCTCAAGTACCCAGAGAGAGAGCCTAGGAAGTTAATGAGCTGCCTGAGGCGGTGATGGGTCCTTGAGGTGATGGAACCTTGTGGCAGGGCTTCAGATCAGGCCCATAGTAGATACATTGTTTAACTGTAGAGTGGTATATGATTTCAGAACTAGCACAGAGTGAAAAAGCTAGACCTGGAATAATACTGATTGGTTTCTTCTCTCTCCTTGAAATTTAGGAGAACCTCTGCATGCTGGCTTCAGTCAAACTGAGGAGCCAAGACCATCTGTCTCATTTAGAAGGAAAATGGATGACGCCCATACCCTTCATTCTGGCTATGAAGGAAGCGGGCCTGAACATCTTCCCTGCTGTATACTCTCATTTTTATGTGGTCGTCAACAACAAGGCTAAGTGAATCTCTCTAATACAGTGGGAACCTAGAATGCTGCTGCTATTAAACTTCGGGGAGGGAAACCTAGGGCTCCCTCCGATTTAATGGTCTTCTGAAAGATTAGAGTGCAGTAGTGACCTGCCATCCACACGGTCACTTTTAGCAGAAGCAAGCCCAGTTACTGCTCATTGTATTTTCTTCCCTTTTCCAGTGCTGGGTCACAGTGGGGCTGTATTTTCTCACCAATCACATACAGACCACCAGCCTGCAAAGCCATTTCCTTCATGGTTTCTCACACAGCCCCCGTGTCTGTGTGCTGTTCTGTGCTCCTCACAGGGGTTCAGTTCACAAGACCCTCCATGAATCTGAGGCTCCTAGAGAACAGGACCTTTGGCTGTTCTAGCAGCCAGCCTGGCACTGGAGTGCCAGTGCTTGTTAACACCCCTGTAGTAAATGAAGACACAGGTGCCCTGAATCATGGAAGGCGCGTTTGTAGACAGAACTGCTCTATACTGGAGAACACGCCTGACACTTTCTGGTGTCTTTTCACCTGCCAATAGTCCCGTGACACTTGTCAATCATGGACATAAATACATAGGTAGAACAAGTCAGTTCTGTTTTGTTTTGGGTTTTTTTGAGACAGGGTTTCTCTGTGTAGTTTTGGTGCCTGTCCTGGATCTTGCTCTGTAGACCAGGCTGGCCTCGAACTCACAGAGATCCGCCTGGCTCTGCCTCCTGAATGCTGGGATTAAAGACGTGTGCCACCACCGCCCGGCAGCACAAGTCAGTTTTAAGGACCCAGTGACACAGTTAACTGTGCACACTGCCCTGACAGGTCTGTAGAACAGTCCCTGCCCTGGAACTGATGTTCTAGCAGCACACCGCCCTGACCTGTCTGTAGGACAGTCCTTGCCCGGGAACTGACATTCTAGCACAGAAAGCAGCATAACTGAAGTGGCTTACACATTAGAACGGTAAAAAGTGCTGTGGGGAAAACCAAACCAAACCAGATGAAGAGTGGGGCAGGGGAGTATTTAGCAGGCTGCTGTGGAGCGGGACTGGACTCAAGGTACGTGGTAGCCAAAGCTGCAGAGTAAGGTGTGCAGCCCCCAGGGTCTGGGCCGGGGGTGGGGTGGGGGCTCTTTCTAGGTAGAAAGTCCAGCTGCAGCCAGGCCTCCCAAGGGAGCAGCAGCCTGGCAGGTCTGTGGACTGCACAAGAGGAGGCCAAGGAACCGGGAACTGCAAGACTAGGAAGGGTACAGTGTTGGCGTCAGCTCACAGAGGGCTTTGTGGACACCGTTCTTCAGGGAGTGTGCAGAAGGGAAAGCCATTGTCTGATTTTGAGAGTGGAGTCCCAGAATCTGACTTAAAATTGGAACTGAGGACAGATGGAGAGGAAGCCCAGTGGAGCACTCGGAGACTGACTGTGCTTACGCCCTCTGGACAGGTCCCCCTGGTGGAGATGAAGGCTTATCGGCAAATGGCCCTGCTAAGCTCTGCTTTCGCATTTAGCTGGAGCAAGTGGAACATGGTCTGCAATTCCACGAGAGTTGTGTTTAGGGTACAGTATGCAAACCCCATAAAACTGCTTTGTCCTCCAAAGAGAAAACACTCAGGAATGAGTGTAGCCACCTTCGCCTCTTAAAGAGGTGAAATGGACATTCAGAACGGTGTTTTGAAATTCTGAGTGTTGGCTTGTCAGTCCATGGAAAGATTTGCCATCTTTACCCACTACGGTACCAAATGCTGTGACCTTGTCTGTGTTGACCCCAGAACAAAGGGGAAACCATGTATGTGAGTATCTGTGGTTCATGGCCCTCTGCGGAGGTCAGGCCTATAGTGTAACTTCCTGACACATTACTGTTGACATACGGAAAAGACACTGTTTTCAAACTCAAGGTTGACTGAATTTTTCTGAGTTAGACTTAAGGTTGACTGAATTTTTCTGAGTTAGACTGAAAGCCAGAACCTCATACATACTGTATGTATGCTCCACCACTGAGCTATTATCCACCCTACCCCCTCCCACCACAAGGCTCAGCAATGAATATGTCAGCATAAAGCAGCCATGTATTTTTCTCCTGTTGCTCCCGACTCTGAGAGCTGGGTCTAAATGGTGCATCAGTGTTTCTGGATGGGGTATCCCACTGTCCCCTCAACTTCCAGAGCAGACCTGGGCAACATTTGTCTCATGAATAAATGGGCAGATGCTGCATAAATACCAAAATGCATATAGCTTCGTGGTTCAACTCAATTCAGAACTGGGGTGTGCAGAGTGCTTTTAGCTGTGTGTGGAGGCACACACCTTTACTCCTAGCACTGTGGAGGCTGAGCCAGCCTGGTCTATGTAGTGAGCCTGTCTTTTTGTTTGTTTGTTTTTTGGTTTTTCCAGACACAGTTTCTCTGTGTAGCTTTGGTGCCTGTCCTGGCTCTCGCTCTGTAGACCAGGCTGGCCTCGAACTCACAGAGATCCACCTGGCTCTACCTCCCAAGTGCTGGGATTAAAGGCGTGCGCCACCTCTGCCTGGTGAACCTGTCTTTAAGGCAGGTGATCTGGGTACTCAGCATCTCCTTTCCTTGTGTGTGTTTTGGCACTCTCAGAGTTCAGATTCTCTTTTCAGGTGAAGGAAGCCCTGGCCGAAGCCACAGAGGATCGTCTCTGGGGCCTCCTCATGTTCAATGGTGACAGGGCACAAATGCTCAAGATCAGGGAAGACAGTGAGATGTTCTCCGAGGCCCTCCAGGAGGAAACTGAGTTCCACTCTACCTTGTACCACATGGTGAAGGACTTTGCATCTGCAGAGGCGATGGAGAGGGTCAGGCGTTCCAACTGCCAGTTCATCGACTCGGTGTGCCACATGCTACTGTCCACCCGGGTCCTCAGCTATTCCTAGTCTTCACAGCCTGTGGAAGAGCTGGTAGGACCCCAAGAATCGCAAATAAACTACAAAAATGACCTAAGAGCACTCTATATTCAAGCTTCACTGCATAAAGATTTGAATAGTTCTTTATTTCAATAAATTTCAATAAAGTACTCTATCTGTCTGTCTGTCTCTCTCTCTCAGAAAGCTCATTAAAACACCCTAGGTGGGGTCCCCTCCCTATGCTATGTAGTTGAGGAATTAAAATATCTCAGCTGCTCTGAGAACCCTGGTTTTGCATTATAATTATTAGAAAGTTACTAATTTATGAATCTCAGAGGAAAATGTTAAAATCAGAACGGGACATTCGGCCATGCTGCAGTCACACTGGCGGAGGCCCATTGTGCCTGAGTCTGGTAAACGGCCATAAGATGTGTTCTAGAGACATCCAGGAGTTCCCTTCCTGTGCGGGTGCGGCCTCCACAGCTGTCTGGAAGAACTGGCCTGCGAGGAAGCTCATCAAGGCTGCGAACAGCACGATGAAGACCACTGAGAGCCAGAGGACTCTGTTGGCCCTTCGGAAGGACGCCTGCAGGTGAGTGACCCACGAAGCCACCGAGCCACAGCTGTGGGGAGAGTACACAGGGAAGAGGCAGTCAGTGTGTGGAGCCTGGAGACTCTCGTTACCGAGTTCCCCAACAAGGCTGCCTTAACTGCGTGTTGGGATGGAGCCTCTTGGTTTAGGGGACAGTTTGCTCCCCACCATTTATAACTAAGAAAGAAAGGAGTAGCCCTCTATGATGCTGAGACTGTGACATAGGCACTAAGACATTTATCTCATCCTTTCGTCATGTAAAGCAGGATAGATACACATTCCACGAAACCCAGTACCCTGCTGTGCTAAAGTTTAAACTAGAGAAAACCAAAGTATACATCGGCCTCACTAGCCTCTGCACTAATCTGAAGGCTGTTCCCCTGGTCTCCACAGAACGGCCCACGCAAGGGCTCCTTAAAGCAGCAGCTGTGAGAGAGAGCCTGGGATAGCCTGGGACTGAGCCAAGGCTGCCTGGCTCTGAGACAAGTTCCAGGACTACGTGAAACAGGGTTGGGGAGCTACTGTAGTGGACCATCCCCATGCTGGCTCATCCTAGTCATAACAATCCCCATGCCCTCCATAAAGCAGTTTGAGTGGGATGGCTAGCCCTGTGTTGCCCATTCCCGCCCTCTCCAGTGAGAGCAGCTTACACTGCAGCGCTGTCCCAGGTGGACGGGCTGCTTCTCTTCTCAGAAAGGCTGGCCTTCCTGGTCCTCTCCACTGCCTCTTCTCCCGGCGGTTCAGAGGCATCTCTAGTTCTGCAAGTAAGTTTTGAAACTAATGACAACAAGCTACATTTACCAGACACTGTCAATGTTTAGTATATAACTCAAAGTGCTCGAATTCTAAATGTTAGATCACCAAACTTAGGGTAATTTAAAATAACTTCTGTGTAGAATGCTGGCCAGTAACACCCACAAGAAAGAATTCAAAATTGCAAGTCAGTCTTTAACCCTTCTACTCAACAGTGTGGACATACGTGCACATCTGTAGCATCCTTTAAGAGCATGCAGACAGCACATTTCCTGAGTGAACACTCAGTGCCCTGCCCTCCTTTAATGTCTTCTGTCAGTGGTCCATTGCACCTGTTCTCTAGGACAGCCTTTCCCTTGTTCTGAAATGGGGTCTCATGGTTAGCCTTGGCTGGCCTCAAACTTGGAGTGATCCTCCTGTCTCTGCCTCCTGAGAGCAGGGGTCCCAGGCATGCTCTTCTGGCTTCTTTTTGATAGTGTTTTGGATCAGTGCTGACTTGTTTTACAGTCATTCCTCTAAACATCTTAATTTTAAAGCATATGCAAATATTCTGAACGCAAAGCCAGCTAAGCAAACTAGTACTTAGAGCCCTGGGAAGTGTCTAGACTGAGTGGATTGTAGATCATAATTTAGAGAGGCTTCCTCCACCTAAGCAAACTTTTGTAACTAATAGCTCCTGGTTGGATATGAATTTTGAAATAGCTCATGATGCCCTTGATTGCCAGAGGAGAGTGTCTAAGGAGGAGGGGGCACCATTCCGTGAGCTTCTTGATCTCTGTCTTCTGTTTACAAAGACGGAATGAAGCCATAAGCAAACAGTCTTTGAAGGAAGCACTTGGCATTTTCCCACAAAGCTCAGATCTTTCACCTTAACTAGATGGGGAGCACGTACCGCAGGATCCTGGGATGTATGAGTTGCCTATGTCATCAGAACACATCTGTCACCATAACTAGATGGGGAACATGTACTGCAGGATCCCGGGATGTGTGAGATACCTATGCCATCTCTTACTGGTGCTTGGGAGTGATCAAGTACGCTGGAGGTGCTCAGTGAATGTGTTAAAGTCACTTTAAATGAGAGACCCGAGGGAGGTGTTTGAACATGTGACAAAAACAGACTAGGTAAGGTGGAGTGAGGGGCATGGCAATGAGTCACATCACATTGCCCTCTACTTTTCACTATGGAAGCATGTAGCACATTTTCACTCATTAAATTTGCTAAACATATTCTAGACACAGTGGTAACACCTGTAATCCAACATTCAGGAGGCTAAGACAGGAGGATTGCTGTTAGTTTGAGGCCAGCTAGGGATACATAGCAGCCCCCCTTTGTCAAAAAGACAAACACTGCTAAGCAAAGAATGAAATGACTCCTCTTTACACAAGACAGATGAACATGCATGTCACAAAGGGCATATGTTTTCTATGCAAATGTTCTGTATTCATTTCTGGTTTTAGTACTCTACGGTGATGGAGATTTTACTTTTGTGGCTCTGGTGATGGGCACGTGTAGATGAATTTCTAAACAGTCTTATTAAATAAAAAACATGAAGCCAGATATAGGGGTTAAAGCCTGGGAAGATCAGAGGAATAGGAACAGCCACAGCTAACCTTACCTCACCAACTCTGCAGCTTCCAAATGCATCTTACTTCCTGTCTATCCATGCCTATATGCCTTGCTGTTCTGCCATCGGATTTACTCTGTCTAGCTATGAGATCGGTGAGGTGAGGTTAGCTTGTGGCTGTTCCTGGCACGCCCAGTTCTGGGAAGTTCCAGAGAGTTATTTAACTTAAAATGTTGCCACACTGAGGGCCAGAGGAGCCACTATGTCCCCAAATGACATTCATAAAGTGGTTCACAGTCTGAGTCTTCCTTCTGACCCCCACTCTGCATGCTTCAGCTCACATCAGGTCAACAGACACATTATAATGAGTCACCTACTTCAGGTCACATTTCTCATCTTCAGCGTCTGCCCAGGAATAGGTGCTAATAAATCGGTGTAGTGAGGGGCGGTGCTCACTCTGCTTTGTTCCCAAAATTCTCCTACACAAAGATAACGGCCATCTGTTAAACAAAGCTGTACCTCGTGTGTCCCCTTACTGCTTAAGTCAATGCAGAAGTTACACTGGCTTCTTTCCCCTTTCACATCCAGGTAACTCTCATTCCCCAGTGCACCTGCCACGATGGGATACCAGCCTTAACGTCTGTGCTGCTCTCTCTGAACAAACCAAAGGTTATTAGAAATGCTCATGTGCTTGCCATGGGTTCCCAGAGTGTGGGCACAAGTCACACCTACCAGCTGCTTGACCGCCGGCTGAATCTGTCGTTATTTTCCATCCCAGATGCCTTTGGGGGTTCGAGAAATCATAAAATAGGAGTTCAGTGAAAGAATTACGTTTTTGTCATAGAGACGAGTTTACTTCTGAGGCAGAGACCTCCACGTGCACTTACCATCCCCACATTTCCAAGATTTCTGGGTAAAGAGGCAATTGTCACTCTTCGAAGAGATGATGGCTGCACACACAGGAGAGAGAAGTACAATTAGAGAATTCTGGGAGTTGCGTCCTCCGCCACGCTGCACACGCCCGTGCTCAGCCCTCAGGGAGCAGGTGAGCATTCTAGGATCTTGCATGGAGAACTCACCTTTCAGAAGTATTGACCAGTTTATATTCTGTCTCCCTCAACCTTGGATTTATAACTTTCGCTAGCTAAGAATGATATTTCTTATCTGGGTTTCATTTATCTGCCTTCAGCGTAGATCGAACACCTTTGCTGGTGAATCACCATCTGCATGTATGTGTTGAGAAACATGTTTGTCCTTAGGACCATTTCCCCTATGTTTTTCTAGAAGACGAGCTGTGTTGTAATTTAGCCAAATGTTTTCCTTTTCTTTTATCTTCGCTTCTATGCTTAGAAAATTCCAGCTCAAGAGGAAGTCAATATTCACCGCACTTGTAGCTTCTCTTGTAATTTTTCAAATAATACATTTAAAATTCATGGAACTTTTGTTAAATTTGCTTTAACTAATACACATAAAAAATTACACACTGATAGGGAAATGAGCCGCTTTTTACTTGTCATGTAGTGTGATATCTAAATTGGATTAAACATCTCTCTCTCCTCAGACATTATGGTAAGTTTTTAAAAAGTTCTTTCCTGCAACTTTTTGAAGCATTTACCATGCTGCTGCTACTTTTAGTCTTCCACTAAGCAACAGCACCCCAGGGTTGCCACTGTACTAATCCCCACTCTCCCTCAGCTAGGGGTAACTGCCATCCCATGCGTAAACTCTCTGTTAGTGCAGGCAGCTCTCCGGTGCCAGGCTCAGCATTGCTTGGGGAGACCAACGTTTTTAGACTCTGTCATAAGTGAGACGTTATATTTTAACAAATCAGTGTGTTTGTAGGCCTTGAGATTTGCATAGGGGAGTATTATATAGTATTGTGTAGCTTAAAGAAATGCCACTCAGGAATAAAAAATATTTTAAATGAAAATAAACTAAAGGAGTTACAATGGTTGATGTCCATTGTCAACTTGGTTGTATTAAGAAACTAACTGGGGCATTAGTGAGGAACACCTCTGGATATGTGTCTGCAGGGATCTCCCGACTGTGGGCTAGATCCCGTGGGCCTGCATCCTGCCCTGCCTTCATCCTGTGAGTGGGCCTGCATCCTGCCCTGCCTTCATCCTGTGGGCCTGCACCTTGCCCTGCCTTCATCTTGCTTTCTTGTTCAGCAATAAGACTTGATTCTTTAGACAGGCCTGGAGACATCCAGGAAAAAGGCTGTCTGTCCCCATCTCACTTCCCACCAAGAACAAACTGGGGGTGTTGTGGGAGACTTCAGGGCTGCTCTGTAGAAGGCAAGACTGGACCTTTCTCTCGCTCTGTGGCTTTCCAGGAAGGATGCAGCCTGGCTCTGAAGCAGAGATGTTAGATGTGGTGATATTTTGTCTGTGTCCCCCAATAAAATTTATTTGAGGATCAGAGGAAAAAGCCAGCCACTATAGTAAACATAGAGGCGAGGCAATGGTAGCACACGCCTTTAATCCTATCACTCAGGAGGCAGGGATCTGTCTGGATCTCTGTTGGTTCAAGGTCACACTGGAGACAGAGCCAACCATGGTGACACACGCCTTTAATCCCAGCACTAACCATAGAGGTCTGGAGGTCTCTACAGACAGACAGGAAGTGACAGAGCTGGGCAGGAAGAGGAAGTGATGTAGCTGGGCTGAGAGAGTCAATGAGAGAACAGAACAGCAAGGCATACAGGCGTGGGTAGACAGGAAGTAGGTCTCTTTGGAAGCTGTGGAGTTGGTGAGGTGAGGTTGGCTGTGGCATTTTCTATTCCTCTAATCTCTCAGGTTTTAACCCCGATATCTGGCTCTGGGTTTTTTATTTAATAAGACCTTTTAAGGTTCATGTTATAGTTAGACCTCAAGGAGGGATCAGGGCCAGGGGCAGGGGGCAGGGAGGACACATCTATAGGGATCCTGAGTATCTGCTCTACCATAGTCCGCTTCCCTGACCCAGCTTTGGTTGAAACAAAACTGCTACCCTGGCTTTCCTCGTGCTGTGGGGCTGTTTTGATTGACATACAAACAACAGGAAATGGAACGGTGTGCCTCATAAACTGTATAAACAGACACACATGTATATTCATGCATGAGAATTTAAATCAGTTGCGATTTTCAGTAAAAGACACATACTTTCAAATACTATCTTAATATTTCACGAACATTTCGTCAACATTTGTTAATTATGAAATCAGTAATTACCTTGGAATTTAAAGAAGACGAACGTTTTTTAATCTGGCAGTCATCTAAAAGGAAAACATTTTCATGTTAAAATTTTCTGAGAATTATTTTATGTTTATATTTTCCCTGCATGTATGTCTGTGCATCACATCAGATCCCCGGAACTGGAGTTATGGATAGTTGTGAGCCACTGTGTGGGAGCTGGGACTCTGTTAGAACAACTTAACCACCGAGCCATCTCTCTGGCCCCACATTTTTACATTTTAAAAACCACACATGCATTTTTGTCAAGTAAAGGTCAGAAAAGGTTTACTGAAAACTCTGCAGGAGACTAAGACAGGAGAATTGCCATGAGTTCAAGGCCAGCCTTGGCTACAGAGTGATACTGTCTCAAAAAGCTAACAACAGAAAAGAAAAACAAAACAAAACAAAACTCTAGAAACTACTGAGAAAGATAAATACGTTAATTTTATTCTATTTTTGTGGTACTGAGGCTTGAGCTCAGGGGCTTCCTACATGTTTGGCAAGTGCTCAACTGCTGAGCTACATCTGCAGCCCCAACAATCTCCATAGAAACCATTAAGATACAGGCCTTAATGTTTCTGCAGTTGTCCACAGTGCCTGCTAGCATGCAGAAGAATATCAAACACTGCTGCTCTTCGGACGGGGGGACATTGCTAAAGTAAGAATTCTGTTCAGAAAAGTACTCAAAACCATTGTGGGGCTGGAGAGATGGCTCAGTGGTTAAGAACAGTGGCTGCTCTTCCAAAGGATACCAGTTTAGTTCCCAGCACCAACATGACAGCTCACAACTGTCTTTAAGTCCAGTTCCAGAAGATCAGGCCCCCTTCTGGTCTCTGTGGGCACTGCATGCACATACATACAAGCATTTATGCCCATAAAATAAAGAGAAACAAATCTAAAAAAAATGGTAAGATTTATAGAAACCCCATGTTCTCATCTGTCTTCTAATCCACCGGACAGCTTACTGTGCTAGGATCAATCACTCCAAGAATCCAACTATGGCTGGTGAGAGTGGTTTGTTTATTACACATATCGTGTGCAGAGAAAGAACCAGCCCTAACACGCCCTGGCTGGACATGAGTCTATTTAATGTTCCAGACTGAGCACCATGTCTCTGCTCTAAATTGATGGAATGAATTTTGAGGGTATTACCAAAGGATCCTTTGTGCCTTTCTGTTTATCTTTTCTTTTTCTTTTTTTTTTCTGTTTGTCTTTTCTTGTTATTTTATATAAAGCCCAAGAATGAGGTATTTTCTAATATAACCTTAATGTAAGGATCTTATTACACAATGTAGCAAGACAGTAAGAGAGCATGAAAGAAGAGAATGTTAGAAAAGCATGACTATTATCTTTCAAAAAAAAATCTATGCAGGCCAAGCATGGTGGTGCATACCTTTAAACCTAGTATGTGGGAGACAGAGGCAGGTGGATCTCTAAGTTTGAAGCCAGCCTGCGTCCACATAGGGAGTTCTAGGACAACCAGGGCTATAGAGAGAGATTCTATCTCAAAAAAAGAAAAAGAAAAAAAACCCCTAAAAACTAAAAAAACCACTCTGTGTGTGTATGTGTGTGTGTTCACTTGCATGTGGGTGCAGTGCCCATGGAGGCCAGTAGAGGGCATCAGATCCCCTGGAGCTGGAGTTGTAGGCTGTTGTAAGCCAAGAGACATAGCTGCTGGGGACCAAGTATGAGCAGCAAGCGTCTTTAACTGCGGAGGCAGCACACCACTGTTATCTTGAAGCTGTTACCTTCATCTTCCAGAGGGTTAAAGGACCTCTCGTTCTGCAGCAGAGCCTGCTTCAACTCCTCCAGCTCGGCATGCTCTTTGGCATACATCCTCTTCAAGTTCTCGACATGCTGAATCATCACTTCTACTGCTTTGCTCACCCGGCTTTCCTACAAGAGTCAACGTCCCTTAACAACACTGTCCTCAACACTCAGTTAAAACAGACATTCAGGGCTGGCAGGGTGGCTCAGCGAGCAAAAGCATTTGTATGCAAGCCTGAAGACCCAAGTTCCATCCCTACAACCCATACTTCAGGAGAAGGCCAGCCCTCTGACCTGCACACCAGAAAGCACATACACCCCCACCCTACACACACATGCACCCCCACACACATGTACCCACACCCACACATGCTACATACATGCACCCACACAGATACACACATGCGAAGCTGCTTGTCAAAGAATAAAGTGTTGGAAGGATTAGGATTTGACATAAGCAGTACCATTTTGGAAGCCATTGTTTTAGTACAGCAGAGAGAGGGAGTGACTTAGGTGTAGTTGGTAGATACACCAGCAGAAATCATGATGATATTCTCTGGCTGGTCTGAAGGTGGAGCACCGATGTACTCTTTGACAATTGATGCAGAAGGAGATAGGAGTGTTGAGAGAACCCCCGCCCCCCAATCCCTACTAGTTCTGGCCTGTGCTGCTAGGACTGAGGCAGGGAGGCAATGGGTGGGAAAGGATTCGGGAGTCCCTGGCTTTGAGGATGCTAAGTGCATGATGTATCAGGCATCTAGGAAGAAATGCCAGCTCCCATCAGGGCCTTAAGACAGGATGAGGTGAAACTCAGATCTGAGAGTCACCCTGGGTTTTGTGAGCACGTGGATTGAATACAGATGGTGAGAAGGTGACCAGAAGGGAGATCTTCAGATCTTCAGCTCTAGGAGGTCTGAGAGAAGGGGTGGGGCCATTCAACAGCCTGGAAGTGGAGCAGCCCTTATGGTAAAGGGCTGTGGTATACAAATGCTGAGTTCTCCAGAAGCAGTGCTGACCTTTTGGAGTGTGCAGTTGGGTGGTAGACACAAGAATGGCAGGTTTGTAGAGGCTTATGGCTGACAAGTTTTAAGAGAATACTAGAGGAGAGAGACTGGGCAGGAGAATCATTCCACTGAGAGGCTTGTTCTAGAACAAAGAAGCAGAAAAGCAATATGGTAGCCAAAGACAGCAGGGTGTGGGGTGGGGTGTAGATGTAACCTTCTTATTAAATAAGAAACACAGAGCCAACACAGAGATGAAAGCCAAGAGGTCAGAGCAATAGCTAAGAGCTAAAAACCTTACCCTTCACTGTCACTGTTGTCTTACTTCTCCAAAAGAGAGCTACTTCCTGTGTGTTTGTGCTTTTTATTGACTTTCTGTTCTGTTCTCTTTGGTTGTAAACCCAACCACATGACCTCCTCGTCACTGCCCGTCTGTACAGACCTCCAGGTCTTCTGTGGTTGGTATTGAGATTAAAGGCGTGTGTCTCCATGCTGGCTGTATCCTTGAACATACAGATCCACCTAGCTCTGCCTCCCAAGTGCTGGGATTAAAGGTATGCGCCACCAACGACCGGCTCTGCTATGGCTTGCTATTAGCTCTGACCCCCAGGCAACTTAATTTATTAACATACAAATAAAATCACATTTCAGTCCAAATAAAATATCACCATAGTGGGGGAAGAAAGCAAGAGAGGGATCTTTGATTTTGAAGGCGGTATCTCTCACCATGCAGCTCAGGCTAGCCTTCAGCACACAGTCATCTTCCTGTTACTTCCCAGGTGCTGGGAAGTGCTTGGGGCCACTCAGGCCCATTTCTATTGTTCGCAGTAATTCTTTCTCAATGAAGAGGTGGATTCATACCACCTCTACCCCCTCCATCTTAAAAACAATGTGCACCTGTGCTAGTGGGGATGGTTCCTAGACTAGGAAGAACTGAAAAGGACAGGGTTTAATGGACAGAATTTAGGCTCATGTTTCTGTGTAAACCGGGAAAGGATGGGATTGTGTCTACAGGCAAGATGGCTGCCCTCAGAGCGTACAGGAGGGTGACTGTCTACAACTATGGGAAGGAGGGCAGCATGTGGATTCTGATAGTAGGTTCAAGCCTCTGGCAGCTCCCTCCCTTTGCATAAGTTTTCTCAGTAGCAAAGTCACCCTGGCTGGCCTAGAACTCTGTGTAAACCAGGCTGGATTTGGACTCACAAGGACTGATCTGCCTCTGCATCCTGAGTGCTGGGTTTAAAGGTTTAAACCAACACCTGGATGCACAGAAGTGTTCTGAAACATATTCTTAGAAATGAGCCCACATTCTGTAGAGGCACAAATCCTCTCCACTTCACTGTTACCTGGTTGATGGCCCCCAGCATCTCTGCCCTGCTGGCCACACGTGTCGTGCACTGGCTGAGAAATGTTATACTCTTCTCCAGTTTCTTAATGATCTCCTGAGCCTGGTTGTCGTCTTCACACAGAGGTGCTAATGACTGCGTGGAAAACCAAGCATTAAAACACACCCAACAGAGTTTCTCACACCGACTAAACCACTTTCGGATCTAAGCGTCCTGATGGAGAGCAGAAAGTGCCACCAAAGCCCAGCAGTGAAGGGCATAAAGACTGCTGGGTCAGGTCACAGGTACACAATGCCTAGTCTTTCCCTTTCCACTGTATCACCCTCAGGTGTACTCACAGCTTTACCCCACGTGCACTCATGGCTTTCCTCCGTGGTTCACAAGACAGGATACAGATAAGCAGACAATACCCATAAGTGAAACGTATCACATGAGAACAGACTGGCATTTTGAGAGGAGAATCACAATAATTCAAACTAGTTTGAGACTGATTTTAGAATCACCTAGGAGGCATGCCACTGGGTGTGTCTGTGATCGTGCTTCCAGAGAGGAGGGAAGACCAGCCCTGAATGTGGAGAATGCCATCCCATGCCTGGGGCTCTTGACTGAAGAAAAGGAGGAGGAGGAGGAGGAAGCCAGCTGTAGTAGTTTGAATGAGAATGGCCCTCATTGGCTCATACATTTGAATACTTGGTCCTTAGCAGGTAGAACTGTTTGGGAAGGATTAGGAGGTGTGGCCTTGTTGGAGGAGGTACGTCACTGGGGGTGGGCTTTGAGGTTTCAAAAACCCACACATTCCCAGTTAGGTCTTTCTGTCTTGTCCTCGAGGATGAGATGTGAGCTCAGCCATGGTCCAGCACCATGCCTGCCTGCCTGCCTGCCTGCCTGCCGCCATGCTCCCTGCCATGATGGTCAGTGACTTACCCTCTGAAACAGTAAACCACAATAAACTCAGTCGGGGTGTCTTAGCACAGCAATAGAACAGTAACTAAAATACCAGCTGAGCACCAGCGTTCATCTTTGTCCACTTCTTGACTGGATCCCATGTGACCAACTGCCTCATGCACCTGACATCACGGCTTGGGCTGTTCCTGTCACCATGCCTTCTCTCCATGGTGAACTTTGAGCTAAAATAAATTATTTCTTCCTTACACTGCTTCTATCAGGTGTTTCATCACAATAAATGAAGAACAGCCAGTATCCTCTCTTATGACTAGGCGTGGCCAGGCTGGCTGGGCACACATGCTATTTTGCCTCACCCAAACTCATGCCCTTTTCCTTGATGATGCCTTTCAAGGCAATCATTCCCAGCAGGGATGAAGAACAGACTTGAGAGTAAACAAGCTACCTCTCACTGTCTGTGTGAGTGAGCAAATGTCTAAGGCTGTCCAGATCTAAAGTGCCATGAGCTCTGGAAGAGGGGCCATCAAGTTGGGTGGCTAGCATTTGGAAGAAGTTCCGGCAGTCATACTACCAAGCACCACAAATGGTGGTTTGCTTAATAATCCTGAAAATGCAAAGGTTTGGCCCTTCTGGTTTGCTGTTTATGTCCTGTCAAACAATACTACAACATGACAGGCAGCAGACTCCAACCTTTTGTTATCACACAGGCACAGTGAATGGCAGCCACATTTGAAACACACAGATGTGTCTAAGTTGTAGCTAAAGAGGTTGTTGGCTAACAGAAATGGCTTTTGTCAGATGTGAAGCTTCCTACAGTGGTTTCATTAATCACCTCCAGATGAGAAGGGAAGAGCAGAGGTGAGTTGTAAGCAAAATGGAATGTTGCTAATTACAGCAGAAACATAAGGAAATAACTTGACAAGACCTAATGAGTGATAAAAAAAAAAGCCTTTCAACAAAGAAAAGCCTGGAACAAATGACTTCCCTAAGGAATTCTATGAAACACACACACACAAAACTCATGCCAACACATGTAAAGTCCTTCCCAAACACTCAACAAGATAGATTATTTTCAAGCTCATTCTATGAGAACTTATTACCTCAATACTAAGCTTGAACAGATATTGCAAGAACAGATTAATAACTAACCCTGAGGAATTCTAATGATAAGTCTTCAGCAAAATACTGAATTCAGTACATCATGATCAGGTGGAATGTATTGCTAGAATGCAAGGCTAGTTCAATACACGAGACTCATTTGAGACAATATACCACATTGGTAGAAAAGACAAAAGTCACAAAATTATAGCAAAAGAATCAGAAAGCATCTGGAAAGATGAATCTATGATTGTTAAAAACAATTTTAAAAGCACTACAAGAATAGGAAGAAAGTACTTCAACATAATAGAAGTTGGGGCAGAAACCCACAGTGAATGTCAGAGTTAATGGCAGAAGATGACCCCTCCCTCCCTCTATGACTAAGAACAAGCCAAGGACCTACACCCTCACTTCTATGCAACATGTTATGGCATTGGTTCTGTAGCCAAAGCAATTAGGCAAGAAAAACAATAAGAGATAAAATATATTTCTGTTCACAGTGTGATTTTTATCTGTAGTATACCCTACAGGCAGAACAGAACTTTCAAACTAATAAACACAGCAAAAATTACAATATTCAAAACTAATACAAGAATCAATTATGTTTCTGTGTACTGACACTTCTTAAAATAATAAACTAGGAAAATGGTTTATTTTAAATCATATCACAAAGAATATAATACTCAGAAATAAGCCAAAACCAGGAGACAAAAGACTTATACCTTGAAATCTACAAAACAAAGACACAAATGGAAAGACATCCTGCATTCATGGGTGGCTAGACCTGATGAGCAAAGAAATCTATAGAGTCTGTGACAATTTATTATCAAAATTTCAACAATATTATCTGGGGGTGAGTAGAAATAGAAAAATGTGGGTGCTTGGAGGCACAGCTCCGTGGTAGAACACATGCTTCACATTCGTGAGATTCTGATTTTGGATCCTTACTACTAGAAAGTATAAAAAAGAAAAAAAAGTTGTAGAATATTTAACTATGTAAAGACATGTTACATTTGTTTATGTTGCTGAATATTACTTTAACTATGTGAAGATGTGTCACATTTGTTTATTCTGCATTTGTTTAATTATGAAAAGATGTGTTGCTGTTTCACCTTGCCTGCCTAAGGCACCTGATTGGTCTAATAAAAAGCTGAACAGCCAATAGCTAGGCAGGAAAGGGGTAGGCGGGGCTGGCGGGCAGAGAGAATAAATAGGAAGAGGAGGAGGAACAAAGACAGAAAGTGAGGGAGACACCCAGGGCCAGCCAGGCAGGCAGCTGCCAGCCAACCAGCAGCAGAAAAAGTAGGACATACAGAAAGAAAAGGCAACACACAGATGAAGAGAAACAGGCTAAGCTATAAGAACTAGCAAGAAATGAGCATAAGCTAAAGCTGAGCATTCATAACTAATATTAAATCTCCATGTCATGATCTGGGAGTTGGTTGGTAGCCCAAGAGAAAAAGCCTGATACAAAAAACTACCCTAAAATAAATGTAGTTTATAGAGGAACAATGAATAGCCTATGCTTCCTGATTTTGAAACATACTACACAGCTGTGAGACGCTCAGTGAGTAAGAGCACATGCTGCCAGCTTGAATGATGTGAGGTCAAACACCAGCACCCATATGGTGGAAGGAGAAAAATCCCTCAACTGGCCTCCACCTCCACATGTGTGCCATGGCATGCCCACCCCCAAATAGACAAGTACAACTGTCCTCTACCTTCGTATGTGCTCCATGGCATGTGTCCCCCCTCCCCCATACACACAAAAGAAACAAGCATAGTAAAATAATTTTTAAAGAACATACCACACACTCAGTAATTCAATGGGATGATACTGGAACAAACATGGACTTACAGAACACAACAGAAGGCCAAGACAACAACTTTCATGTCTGTGGTCAAATGACTTTGAGAAGGAAACCAAAAATACACAATGGAGAAGGGGTGTGTCTTCCAGAAGTAGTGTTGAGAAAAGTGTATATATCCATGTGCCTAAGTATGGAACTAGACTCCTATACCATATGCAAGGAAAAAAAAAAAAAAGAGTGTAACTCAATGGCTGGCCATGTGGCTCAGTGGTCCTGAGAGGCTCAGGCAGGAGATTGACATACAGCCATACTGGTATACATACTGAGTAGCAGGCCAGCCAGGACTACATAATTATACAGCAAGAGTCAATCTCAAAAACAGAAATAATAAGAAGGGAGGGGATGGGAAAGGGAGAAGGAGGGGTAAGCATGTGACTGCCCATCCCCAATCATTCGCTCACCTCTAAAAGCTTTAAACAGTTTGTGATTTCTTTTTTCAAGTTTTCCTCTGCCAGGTCCCGGGACCTCTCTTCAAGCTTGACTCTCTTCTCCAGTGTAAACCAGTCACACTTAAGTCCCAAGGATAACCTGAGAAACTCTGCCTGTGGCCACAACAGCACGAGGACAAGGAGAGACATTAGAGGAGGTCAGTGAAGTGGGGGCATCCTTCCTCCCCCGCCCCCCCCCCCTCCCCCCCCGGAATCCTAGGCTGGAGCACTGCTCTGCCTGCATTTAGTCTTGTAACTGGCTTGTGCAAGACCATGATGGGACCATCTGAAGTGCAGAGAGGGGCAGAAAGAAGGAGCAGGGTGGTGGAAAGGGAGGGAGAGAGAAGGAGGAGAGAAAGGAGGGGGAAGAGGAAGGAGGGAAACAGGGAAGGGGAGAGGTTAGAGAAGGGGAAGAGGGAAGGGGGAAAGGGGGAAGGGGAAAAGGAGAGGGGGACCGGAAAGGGAGGGGGAGGGGAGGGGAGAGGAAGCCGGTTGGAAAGGCAGACATTAAACTCACCTCCACCTCCTTCTCACTAGCTGAAGTGCTGCAGAGGAGACAAAGAACTTACTCACGTATGTGTGACCCAGGAGAAAGATTAAGATCCCAAACATGGTGTGAAGGAGACTTACTTCTCACTCTGTGGAAAGTTAACTAACTTCACAGGTGCTTTGGGAGGGGCGGAAACCTCAGTTTCTGTGGAAAGACAAGTGTCTGAAACAGTTATCATCCAAAAGCCCATTTTCACCCATTGCTGTTATGTCTTAGCTTCATTTAAAAAAATGTTTCATTTAAATGTCTGAGTTGACAGGCAGCTAAGGCACTTGCTTACCCAATAAGAGAATCACTCTGGAAATAGAACTCCAGGCACATCTGTGAGGGAGTGCCTAGACTGGGTCAGAAGACCTATGATGCCACCTCTAAATGTGGGGGCACCATCTCATGGGCTGGAGTCCCAGACAAAATGAACATAAAGCAAGCTGGGTACCAGCATTCACCTGCCCCTGGATGTGGATGCAAGGGGACCAGCTGCCTCATGCTCCTGTTACCATGTCTTCCCCATCCTGACTGACAGACAGTCTCCATCAAGGTACAAATCTTCCCTCCTATAAATTGCTTTGGTCAGGCATTTTGTTACAGCTCCAAGAAAAGCAACTGACCCAAAGAGCGTTGATAAACATGGCATCAACCTTGCCATTCCAGGACAATCTCTCTACCGTGACAGTTTTCTCTGTGACAGCTTTGCAACATGAATGTTGTTGGCTTAAAATTTATAACACTTGGTTTACAGCCAAGCTTTGACTCTCAGACATGTGATGTGACCAAGTCACAACCTTGTCAAACCATCTACATGATAGGATGGGATTTTATGTAACTATTGCGTCACATAAGGATGTCACAGCAAACCCTCAGTGGCAACTAGTTGCTCTATTTTCCTGAGGCTGTGGAACCACTGTTTACCTGCCTTGCCTTGCATTTGCAAGGCTGAAATTATGCAGATAATATAGCTTAATGTTCAGATTATGACTGCAGTACTATCTCAATAAGGTTTGTTAGTTTGGTTTTCATTTTGGGGGGGAGTTGGTTTTTTTGTTTGTTTTTTTTGGGGGGGGGATTTGAAGACAGGGTCACATATACCCCAGGTTGACTGTGAGCACATTATATACCTAAGGCTGACCTTGAGTTTCTGCCTCTACTTCTAGAGTGCCACTATTAGAGGTGTGAGCCACCAGACCTATTTTATGTGATGCTGGGCAATCAAACCCAAGGTCCCATGCATGCTAAGCAAAGAAGTACCTTATCAACTGAGCCATGTCCCCAGCCTAATAGTTATTTTTTTAGCCAGCATTTCCACTTTTCAAAAGAGAAGGCAGAAGTTTAATTACCTTAAAGAGATCACAGAAGCAGAGACAGACCTAGCCTGGAGTCAGTGAGGCTGGTGTGCTATCCCTGTGAAGTCATGCTGAGGAGGAGGCAGGTTGGCCCGTTTTGTGAATCTTGGCATATTTACTTTTATGTGAGGTACTGAAACCTCGAAGTAGTGTTGACTAGCTCACAACACAGGCTTACTTTTGACTTCAGATAGCTACTGTTGGAAGAGTGTGGCGCCAACTAGGCAATGCGATGCCACTGTGGCTTTTTGAAAATAGACACAAGACTTGACGCAGGATGCTGAATGGGTTGGTGGCAGACACAACTTTACCAACAAAGTATCACCAGTAACTAGCAGTTCAGCAGAGCTCACTTGTGCATGCCTTACCTCCTGCGGTAGAGTCCTTCCCTCCATCTTCTACTGTTCTGAGTCCCTCTCCTGCTTCCTAAAATGGGAAGAACTTTGTATTGGCGTGTGTGGGGTGGAAATCCTTCAGAACCAAACCTCTCTGTGCTTCCTGTCCTCTTCCTGTCCTGTCCTGTCTATCAAAATCACTCTGCAGAACTCCGGGAAGTGGAGTAAAGGTCAGCAGAGACAGGACCAGCTCCAAGAATCCAGTTGAAGCCGAAGTGACAGAAATGTAAGGAGCTACGAAAGGGACACAAGTTGTCACAAAGGAACCAAGTGATGCGCGTGCAGAGGAGAGAGCCACCAGGGGCCCCAGCACAGAGGGGCCTCTCAACCAAGAACACAGTCAGGCTAAAGCAAGGGGCACCCTACATAGCTCTATGGAAACATATGCCCATCAAGATCCATCCTGTTAGACTTTCATTCCACACGCACACACGCACACACACACACACACACACACACACACACACACACACACACGCACACACACTGATTTAGTTGTTTTGCTGTTGTTTGAGACAAGATCTCAATATGCAGACCATGAGCCTGTACTAGCCTGAAACTTGTGCGCCTGTCTCAGGCAGCCAAGTGCTAGGATTACTTGAATCAAAATGAAATTGAATGGATAGCTTCATTCAAATATGTTTTAAGCCCATTAATCAGGTGTTACATAGTAATCATGCATGTACCAGGGGTATAGAGGGTAAAAATGCCTTGTGCACACACGTAAGCACTGGAGAAGCCAGGGAAGTTTAACACACAGCTCACCTCTTCAAAGGAATGAGGTGCGAAGCTGTTCTTCCTGGAACTAGGAATGATGTCATTTTATATCCTGGTGATCCTCTGCTGTCTAATGAGACAGGCTCTGTCTTATCTTCCAGAATTTATGTTTCTACTTATCCAAGACCTTTCCCCCTAGATCCTGAGCATGGCTTTTAGACCATAAAACCCACTCTTACAAGTGATGTCACATGTGCTTTACAATAGCCTAAGTGACTTCTGTGTTATCTTAGGGCCAGGCCAATCCTGACACCCACAGTTTACCTCACTCAAACTCCCTAAACCTTGAGCACTATCTCTGAGTCAACAGTACCCATTCTTGTGAAAGCCGGATGTACTTTGTAAGGAATCTCAATGTAAACATATCTTAAATTGTTGTGCACTTGGGACTGAGTTAATTATCTGAACACCTTTTTCAAAATTGTGCTGTGCTTAAATATAGCTAAAGTAAATGGATCTGGGCCAGACCCTACAAGTCCTGGTCCAGAACCAGTTACAATAAAATTGGGCTGAGCCGAGTTTTGTTCTTGTCTCTTTGTGAATCATTTTTTGCCCTGATAGAATTAATAAAGAAAACCTAAACTGAGGGAAAACTGGAAATGAAAAATTTAGGAACTTGAACAAGAACCTCAGAGGCAAGCTTCATCAATAGAATACAAGAGATGGAAGAGAGAATCTTAGGCATTGAAGATAAGATAGAAGAAATGGATTTCTCAGCCAAAGAAAATGTCAAACCTAAAAAAAATCCAGGCAAAAAATGTCCAGGAAATCTTGGATACGCTGAAAAGATCAAATAGGAATAGAGGAAGGAGAAAAAACCAGGTCAAAGGCACAAAATCATAGATGAAAATTCCATAAGCTAAAGAAGGAAATGTCTATCAAGGTACAAGAAGCATACAGAATACCAAATAGGCTGTAACAGAAAAGAAATTTCCGTTGGCACATAATAATCAAAACACTAAGCATATAGAACAAAGAAAGAATATTAAAAGCTTCAAGGGGAAAAGACCAATTAACATATAAAGGCAGACCTATTAAAAATAACCCCTGACTTTTGTTTTGTTGTTTGTTTTTCCACATAGGGTTTCTCTACATAGCCTTGGCTATCCTGGATCTTGCTCTGTAGACCAGCCTGGCCTCAAACTCAAGAGATCTGCCTGCCTCTGCCTCCCGAGTGCTGGGATTAAAGGTGTGTGCCACCACTGCCTGGCTAAACATCTGACTTTTTAAGGGAGACTCTAAAAGCCAGAAGGGCCTGGACATATGTGCTGCAGACTCTAAGAGACAGACCAGAGATGCCAGCCCAGACTACTATACCCAGCAAAACTTTCAATCACAATAGGAGAAAGAAAGATATTCCATGATAAAACCAAATTCAAGCAGTATCCATCTACAAATCCAGCCCTATGGAAGGTGCTAGAAAGAAAACTTCAACATGAAGGTTAACCACACCCAAGAAAACACAAGGAATAAATAATCCCAGACCATCAAATCAAAAGGGGGAGGGGAACCCATACCACAACAATAAAATGACAAGAATCAACAATGTTCATTGATAGCTCTCAACATCAATGATCTCAATTCACCAGTAAAAAGACTAACATCTTGGCCGGGCAGTGGTGGCGCACGCCTTTAATCCCAGCACTCGGGAGGCAGAGGCAGGCGGATCTCTGTGAGTTCGAGGCCAGCCTGGTCTACAGAGTAAGTTCCAGGAAAGGCGCAAAGCTACACAGAGAAACCCTGTCTCGAAAGAAAAAAAAAAGACTAACATCTTAAATATAAAAACAGGATTCATCCTTCTGCTGCATCCAAGAAACACACTGTAATATTAAAGGTGAACATCATCTCGGGGTAAAAGGATGGAAAAAGATTCTAAGCAAATGGACCTAAGAAACCAAGTCAGTGTCATCATTTCAATATCTGACAAAATAGACTTCAAACCAAAGCTCATCAGAAGAGATAGGGAAGGACACTACATACTCACCAGAGGAAAAATCCACCAAGAGGACATTGCAATTCTTAACATCTGTGCACCAAATGCAAGAGCACCCAAGTTTGTAAAATAAACACTACTACAGCTTAAATCACATATTGACTCTCACACAGTGATAGTGCATGACTTCAACACCCCACTCCTGCCAATAGACAGGTCATTCAGAAAAAAACTAAACAGAGAAGTGCTGGAGCTAATAGACATTATATACCAAAAGGACCTAAGAGATACTTACAGAATATTTCACCCAAACACAAAAGAATATACTTTCTTCTCAGCACCTCATAGAACTTTCTCTAAAGTTGATTATATACTTGGACTCAAAGCAAGTCTCAACAGACAGATGAAAATTGAAATAAGACCCTGCATCCTATCTGACCACCATGGATTAAAACTGGATATCAACAACAACAACAAAAACAACAGAAAGCTTACAAACTCATAGGTACTCAATAACTCACTATGAAATAAAAAATGGATTGAGACAGAAATTAAGACTTTCTAGAAATGAATGAAAATGAATATATAACATACCCAAACTTACATAACACAATGCAGGCAGTTCTAAGATGCAAGTTTATAGCAATAAGTGCCTACATAAAAAAAATTGGAGAGATCTCATACTAGTAACTTAATAGCACACTTGAAAGCTCTGGAACAAGAAGAAGCAAGCATACCCAAAAGAAGTACATGGCAAGAAATAATCAACTCTGGGCTGAAATCAATAAAATAGAAACAAAGAAAACAATTCAAAGAATCAATGAAACAAAGAGCTGGTTCTTTGAGAAAAATCCTAAGATTAATAAACCATTACCCAAATTAACTAAAAGATGAGGAGACAAGATTCATATTAACAAAATTAGAGAAGAAAATGGAGACATAGCAACAGACACCAAGGAAATCCAGAGAATCATGAGGACTTATACTTTAAAAACCTATGCTCCACCAAATTGGAAAATCGAAAAGAAATGGATATTTTCTCAATATATTCACCTACCAAAGTTGAATCAAGATCAGATGAGCAATTTAAACAGACCTGTAACTCCTAGTGAAATGGAAGCAGTAATTAAATGTCTCCCAAGCAAAAATATCCCAGGGCCAGATGGCTTTAGCACAGAATTCTACCAGGCTTTCAAAGAATAATCAGTGCCAATACCCCTCAAATTATTCCACAAAACAGAAACAGAAGGAGCATTTCTACAGATTCAATGCAATCCTCATCAAAATTCCAACACAATTCCTAACAGATCTTGAAAGGAAAAATTTTAGCTTCATATGGAAACACAAAAAAACTCAGGATAGTCAAAACAATCCTGAATGATAAAAACAAAACATCAAAGGCCCCCCAAACCATCAGGATGGCATCACCATGCCTGATCTCAAATTGTACTACAGAACATTAGCAATAAAAAGAACACAGTTTGGGCATGGAAACAGATACATGGAACAGATCAATGGAATAGAATTGAAGAAGGTATCCAAAGGTAGAATGATCTCCAATGCTCATGGATCTGCAGGATTAATAAAGTAAAAATGGCTATTCTACCAAAAGCAATATACAGATTTAATACAATCTCCATTAAATTCTAACACTATTATTCACAGATCTTGAGAGGACAATTTTCAGCTTCATATATAAACACAAAAAATCCAGGATAGCTAAAAATAATCCCCAATAATACAAGAACTGCAGAAGGTATCACTATTCCCAATTTCAAGTTGTACTAAAAACCTATAGTTAAAAATCAAAACACATGATGGTATTGGTATAAAAAAAAGACACATATTGATCAACAGAATCAAATTGAAGACCCAAACAAAAATCCACATACCTATTGACACCTGATTTTTGATAAAGAAGCCAGAAATACCCACTAGAAAAAAGCCAGCATCTTCAACAAATGGTGATCAAACTGGACAGCTGCATGTAGAAAAATGCAAATAGGAACCATATTTATCATGTGGCACAAAACTCAACACCAAATGGATCAAAGATTTCAACATAAAACTAGATACCCTCAACTAGACAGAAGATAAAGTGGGAAATAGTCTTGAACTCATTGACACAGGATATTTTTCCTGAACAGAACACTGATAACTCAGACACTAAGAACAACAATTAATGAATGGGACCTCGTGAAACTGAAAAGCTTCTGTAAGGCAAAGGACACGGTCATCTGGACAAAGCGGCAGCCTATAGAATGGGAAAAGACTTTTTAGCAACTCCACATCTGATAAAGGGCTAATTTATAAAATATATA